GTCTATCAACAAATGGCATCAATGTCAGACAAGTTCATTATAAGCTACCGTGCGATTCTACGAGATCAATGTCATATCGACTTTCTGAAACAAGCCAAGGTATTCTATTACGTGTTGTTCATAAACGACTTCAAGGTGAATGACCGACTGAACTAAGCATACGGTTGGCAAGGGAATGCGATGAGAGATCCATAACAAATAAATGTGTATAACAGGTGTGACATGTCATATACATCCGGGTATTATTTTCAATCATCATTCCTCCGTTGATGTACAGACAAAAAATACGCAAAGCGTAACACGTATATAGACTAATATGTAAATGAGTATAGATTATTCAAACAAACAACAACAACATCACGTATTTCACAATTAGGGATGTTTTAAATCAGATGAGCTAAATATAAAATGAGTAGTCAAAACAAAGCGTTAGAGACAACAAAAGTTAGTGAATCCTCCATCCTCTCCCAGTTTCTGGCGTTAGAACCAACCACCGAAGGCTGATAGGGGAAGGGGTTATCTGTGATGTATGCATCACAATTAGAACAAATTGCACAATGTAAAATGTAACATACCTCATCGTACGTGACAATATTGCTTCTCACAAGTGGACAATGTCGGTTCTTATTCACTACTATATTCTGTGCATATTTAAAAACATTACATAAGTCATAACATATGTACATATGCAGTGTAGCTTTGCATTGTACCAACCCGTGTTAGTGCCTAAACTAAGAAGACTGAGAATCCAAGGAAAGTCAAATCTCTGGACTCTTTCAGTATTTTTTATTTCAGTCAATAACACGCACTGGTACATTTAGCAGAATACAAGGGTTGTATAAAAATGACCTAGACACTATATCCAAAGTGTATTTAGCTAACTTATGACATGTTACGTTAAAATCGTTCATCGCCGACTTTCCAAATATAAGTTAGTTTACAATTACGTCGTGCCCAAGCCTTTTATAATTAAATACACGAATTTTGTTATTGAAATCGTGGATGACCTATATCACATAAAATACTGTTTTATACCATTTATATTATTGTAGTAGTATGCGGAGCATGGTTAATCAAACAAACACGTTGTTTACGTGGTATGACTGACAATAATTAGGCGTTTGAATTTGTACAACCATCCCACAAGATAACTTTTCAAATCGTTGAATATTATGCCGCTCTAAAATGTGTCTCTACAAAATTCTACAAAACTTATATTACCACATTATATTACTAGAATGTTCAAATATGAAAATCAATGCCATAATCTATCAGCTATTTATGTTGAAGATTGTAATTACACTTTATTTTTTTCAAAATCATTTTAATGTTTATGTAGTATTTGTGATTATGAGGGCTCTTGGCAAAATAAACCTTCTCGGGTTTACCAATCTACCCTCTTTAAATAACGTCAAATGAATAAATAATAATTAAATATGCATGTAATATGCACGACCTGAATGTGAGCCGATAATACAGGCAGTAGCGCTTAGTTTCACGCAACCTCATGCCAATTTCCCCATAATTTACACGAATGGCTACTACCGATTTCTATAACCAGACTTGATGAAGTTGAAGTTGCTGCGTCAGACTCACCATTGATTTAGTTCATGTAGTAATCCTCTTAAAGCCTAGTATACTTCCCTCACACATAGAGCTTTGGGGTAGTAATAGTTTGAGAGCAAATAACACATGCTGGTTTATACTTAATAATTAATAAATAATAGTATCAATAGCTATAAATAACGCCCCATCACGCATTGTCTTTTGGCATAGCTAGTAGTGTAGCTAATATTCTCGAGAGGCTGGTGCTGGAGCACGTATATGTAAGCCAAGAGATTATCGCTGCCTACAGTGCTTGAGGCCAGTTACAAATGTCCATAAGAATTTCCGCATTCAGTAATCATGGGTCGTCAAATGATGTCATTCTAAATGCGGTACCCAAAGACTTCCTCTATAAAATATCAGTGCCACCATATGGACGTTCCGATAAAGCCTATTCTTGGTATCCACGACTGACTCACCAAAGGCATAACAGTCAGTGTGATTAACGGATAAAAAATCCTAGATCATCAACAAGCAAGTGCTCCTGCAACAGACATATACCATGTGCACCTCACAGAGTGTGTTGTTAGTGTTAGTTGACTTAATCGACCAACAGTTACAATGACATTGCTGATGACATTGTTAATTCCAGAGATAACGAAATACTAAGTCCGTTCGGTCAAGCAATAACACTCATCTTAGTTTCAAATGTTTACATGTAAATGTGATGGCATGTATCATTTTGTGATTATTGCTCCATCATTATTTCTTTATTTGTACATTATGTACATATTATTATTTGACAATTTCACTTTGTTTCAAAATTTCATAACCTCATCATGTTAGTGTGAGTTGACTTAATCGACCAACAGTTACAATGACATTGCTGATGACATTGTTAATTCCAGAGATAACGAAATACTAAGTCCGTTCGGTCAAGCAATAACACTCATCTTAGTTTCAAATGTTTAC